TAATTATAAAATTTGTACCCTACGATAATTTACTAATAATTTGTTACCTGGTTTAGGAGAAGGTTTAAGATGTTCTTCCATGGCACTTTCAAACAATTTCTTCTTATCACTGACTGACATTTTTACTGGTGATGGTGATGGAGATGTTGTCGGTGAAAGCTGTTTATAAAATTTATATGAATAAAAACAGAAAATAATAATAATAATAATAATTATTATTATTATTACAATATATTATTTGAAAAATACATGATCAAATATTTTGGAATAATTAGAAATGATTATTTGAAATCAAAATGATTGATTATATATACTATCAAGAGAATAATCTCTTTATGCTGTAGCCTTTTTAAAATCTTGAATGAATAGAAAATTCGATGTATACATATTTTTCTTGTTTGTTTTCTTTTTGTTTTTTTGCTGATAATATCGCCATTAATCACAAACAAAATTTGATGCAATAATAAAGCTTTATATGGTGAATGAAACATATTCCTTGTAAATAATATTTCATAATTAGAAACAGTACATTAGTTTAAATAAATTACACATGCTTACAAAACCCACCTCAACCCGAACCTTTCCATCAACAGAACGTGCTATCTGTCGTTTGTTAAAGCAAGTTGAAGAAGAACCTAATTTCCCCATATATTCAGGAGCAGTCAAAGGTGTAGGAGGAAGTTGAAAACGTGGTTGAGTAATTTGTATTGGATTTGGATAAGTTTTCTTTGAATAGGAAGAAATCTGAGGTTGTAGTTGTTGTTGTTGTTGTTGTTGTTGTGTTAGAAAAGTTTCATGCATGGATGGGAATGATTCTTTGGATAATGATTTAGATTTGACAGTAGGCGACAAGGGAACGCTAACTGTGCTTTCTTTAGAAATTGGTGGAAGATCGGCAAATGTAATGCTACGTTTAGGTACTGCGGAACTCTTCTTTTTTGGGGAAGGTAATGTTTGGGTAGAAGCAGAGCGATTGAAATTTGCAGTTGTAGTAAGAGTAGAGACCGGAGATTTTGTTGAAGTACGATCCATTGATCCTCCAATTTGAACTTTCCACTGAATAAATAAGACCAAAATCATATTAGTATAATTGACATTATATTAAAATATGATGAGATAAATCTAATGAAAAATGATGTGTTAAAACAAAACTCAAAAAAAGAAAAAAAGAAAAAATATTGTGATTAGAATTATGTTTCTACAAATCGTAAATGTACGTGCATATATTACGAAAATTGTTGTAATAACATATGCCAAAAAATATAATTTTTATTGTATAACAATGTTTTTGTAAACAAAATTGTGCATATGTGTTTTTGTTTTTAATACAACTAAAGAAATGATATATATATATAGTGTGCGTTCAAATAAATATATGCTATTTTCAAAGTTTTAACTATACAACATTGCAATATGCAATTGCATTTAATAAATCATTTCATATAGTCATAGAATTTATATTTATACTTTAAAAACAGATTTATTTTTGACACTACATGTCATACAAAATCTATGTTAGAATTAAAAAGGAATCAGTTTCAAACCTACTCATTTTTTATGTTTGTTTGTTTGTTCTTTTTAACACTCAGTAGTGTGTGATTTCATTGTACTATTATTGCAACAATTAATGCAGCTTTGCACATCATAATCTTATTCGTGTACTTTTTCCCCTCAATATGAAAAAGTCAGTTTGTTCACTAAAGTTTCTTAAATATTTGTACCCTATCCCATTTTAATTAGAATCATATCAATGCATTATAGGATGCTCTGAAACAACATAAACCTTTTCAAATGATTCAAAATAATATTTCAATACCCAGGAACTGCTTGTTAGTTAATATGTTATTCAGTTTGAATTTATTTATCATTTACTAGCCTGTTTAATTAGTTATTAAAATACAACAAATATAACCATTTTCAGAATAATCCTATGCATCGATATATGAAAACACCGTTCTAATTGTGCTTCTATATCAATCAACAGGAGCTTTAACATCCTTTCATTTTATTAATAGATAAATATCTTATTTTTATATTCTGTAATAATATATAAACATCTGGTCCATATTAGAATTATGTTCAACATATAACATTTATAGAAAATTTATAAATTACAGTACACTGATTTATACCTCATTAATGATATGAGTTTATACTGTAGCAATGAACATCGTAGAGAATTAGCACTTTTAATTCAGAATGAATGCAAGTTTTGTTACATGCAACAATGTCTTATAAACAATACAATCATTTTCTTTCTTTTTATATTCTTTTTTTTTTTTTTTGCTGTACATGATTTTTATGATGAAATTTGTTATTTATGGATACATTATCTCTGTCAATGATATGGAAATACTTTTACTTTTTCTTTTTTCCACTGACTATAATAAGCTAATATATCTATAGTATAAAAAATAAAACTTTTTATAACAAATAATGACATTATGAGACATTAATTTTGAAATTATCCAAATTTCTACTCATCACATTCAATGAGGTAATATAATAAGTTAAATTAATACATTCTTTTTTTTTTTTTTTTTTGAGAGAGAGAAATAAACTATACTAATTTGCCTTATTTTTTTTCTGTGCGTGATAGTAAATATATGATAAATATGAAATAATCAAATAAAGATTTGAAAAATGTTTCATGTTTTTAAACTACGTTACTAACGATATAAAAAACGTCATTTCTGTATATCAAGCATTAGTATCCATAATATGTGATTTATATAATTATAATATATATATATATATATATCAATTTGTCAAAGTGCTGTTATTGTAAATATAGACCTGTGCGACTTGTTGCACTGTACATATTTAATTGATCATTCTATAAACATATGTGATATCTTTAAGAAAAAAGTTAAATATATCCTGTGTATGGCAAATGTTTTCCCATCCTGGATATATATATATATATATAATAGTCACCATTAACAACAAGGGATTATCAGAAAATATCACTTTTGTTCATGGTACGTCAAATTCTATAATATGTGGAGATATGGATTTTATTTCTGTTAATAGAAACACACTGACTCTCAGTAAATTCAATTGCCAATTCATTTATATCACAATTTATGAATATTTTAAATTTTGTATCCTAGAAGCATCACAAGCTTTAAAGTCAGTCCATAAGATTCTATCCACTATATGCCTAACGTTTCAAAGATTAATTGGAAATAAAGCCTCAGAATCAGTGTATAAACGTTGCTAGAAAATATTTGATTAAAGTACGTTGAGAAACAACTCTGTGCTTTAACACTTCTGTCTACCTATCACAGAAATATTTTTCTCATTTATAACCGATACCTATAGAAACAAAGAGAAAAAAAAAGAGAGAGAGAGAGAGAGAGAGAGAAAGAGAAGATGATCAATATATATATATATATACACGAGAATCTTTAGTTAGGAAGATATCACACACTTTTTTTATATAGTGTTAGAAAAAAATCTTTTGATATCTCTTGACATAAAATCAAAAACAATAATAAAAACCCCAATTATTTACGGAATGAATTAATCCCATTAGCAGATTCTCGATAAATGCTCCTAATGTTATATAATGGCAGTATTATTAAAAAATGCAATAACAATAGTTAAATTGTATAACAATGACATCATAGACGGAAACGCAATAAACAATGGATAATGAAGTTCGTGTCATGAATTTGCTTAGAATTATTTATATTATGGCACAATCCTGTGGAATCAGAGGTATGGACGTAGACACAGGGAAAATGAGTAGAGGGTCGAACGACTCACTCCTGTTAGAGGGCAGCCAAAGTAGCACTATCACCTTCCACTTTCTGTAAACACGTTAAATATCTCTTGTTTTGACGCTCAGGAGAGCATGCGACGCTAAAAACACTGACAAACGTACAACTCATGCGCCATGTAAAAGTAACGAAGATTAGAATGAATTAAGTACGAGATAGTCAAGAATTATATTCAATTTTTAACAGGTCAATTTACAATTTTCATTTTATTAATATGCTGATCTGAGTGATTTCAATCATCATTCTAACATAATTATTATTTAACACAGAAATGTGCTTTGATAATATATTACATATAAAAAATAAAAATTAAAAAAAAAACATAAAAAAAGAAACTATAATAAAACATATATTTTATATAACTGAAGTGGGTCTGGTAACAGGGTTTCCAAAAAGATTGAGCTTAAAGATAAAAAAAGAAGTTAACACGTTAGTATAAATTAGGCTTTGATCTTTTTGAATATCCTGTATGTAATATATAATTTTTCACGATGCATGGTATAGTTCATCAAAAGTGCTTTTAGTATTTCTACATATCTGTTTTCATAATGCACTATAAGTCAGTATAAGGATTATTATTTCATTTCATTTTATCTTTGAACTAACGTAACTATATTAATTAAAATATATAATATTATTTAATATTTTCAATCCAGAAGAATTCAATGGTCATTTGTACGTGTATGCATATGTATATACATATATATATAAAAAAAAGAATAAATAGATAAGTAAATAAAAAGAAAAAAAATAAGGCAATAAACAGAATGCTCTATACTAATAAAAAATAAAAAATTATCTATGTTATATTATATAAAATATTAAAAGTTCTAAGTAAAAACATTTGAATTGTGATATTCTTTAGTGCTTGATATACATATTTTAGTATCGCATGTTATTATTCATCATTCGTATTAGTACACATCTTTCTCATTTTCCCAATGTAGGCCCTACTTTTATTACAAGTGCAACATTATCAATGATGTTATATACTAGAGAAAAATAGTTATTATTACTATTAATGAGTTAAACATGTGAGTATGTAGATTTTGGCCCCTATACATATATACTTTAAGAAAAGTATATCAAAAAATACCTATATATACAACATTTTACACTTATATCTAAAAAGAGGAATTATAGCATATATAAAAATTTAAAAAAAAGTACTTTTTAAAATCATCACAGGAAAAAGGATAAGTTCTACAATACTATCAAATATATAGACATCGTTGAATAATAAAATTAAGTTAATTTATACTTTTTCAAACTATTAAATAATTAATAAAATAAAACACATGCTACTATATACTATGATAAAAAAAAAAACAACTATTTTAAAATATATATCATGCTTGCTAAAAAAAAATGCTGCATGCATAACAAATTTAGATTCGTATATGTTGACAATAAACGAAATGAGATATTACAAATGAATTACTTACTGTTGGATTCTGAGGAGCTAACGTGTGTTTACTCATCACGATGGTGGTAGTTTTGAGATCCTTTGTACCACTCGGGGACTTTGGTGGTACAACCATATCAACTGGACTACTTGATTTATGTACTAAGGATTCTGCCGCTCTCACTACGTCTAAAACCTTTATAATAAAATGATTAGAGCACCTCTTTAATTACAAATAAAAATGAGTAAACTATAAAATAAACACATACTTTCTCAGGAGTGGATTTCTCCCTGTGTTCAATTAAAGCTCGTTCCCTCTCTTCTTGTTCCCACGCTACAAGCTCCGCTTTCATTTCTTGTTCTTGCCTAAGCGTTGCTGCTTCTTCATCGTCACGATCCAAGCTTGATATACTTTGCGATAATGATTTAATATCTTCTGTAGGTGGATCTTTAAATTCTCTCGACACCCTGATGGATTCTTTAGAATCTCTGCCATCGGATAAAGGTAATACTGACTCAACTTCATTTTTATCGTAACCTTTACAAACCACCAATGTGATCGTATTTCCTGAGCACCGAAGAATGTTTACAGCTTCTTGATGAGTTGCACCCAGTAAAGATGTTCCGTTGACTTCTAACAGCCTCATACCGACCTGTTCAAATAATATATTTTTGAAACTCCGATTATATAAAACCTTTTTTTTACATTTTAATGACATGAATCTTATTTTGATTACCTTTAATCTACCATCTCTCTTAGCTGCTCCGCCTGAATTAATTTTAGATATAAAAACTCCTTCATCCGTATGATCAAGGGGGTTGCCTTTTTGGCCTCTAAGTCCTCCTTTAATATGCATTCCCAATTTTTCTCCTGGTTCTTTTATAATTACCAATTCCTACAAAAAATAATGATACATTATTATTTATATTTTACACGTGTATTTTGTCAATATATTTTATTTATTTTCATCATATATATTTCATGTGTGGAAATATTAAATATATCAATTTTTCTATATTTTTATAAATTTATAATTAAAAAAAATATATGTATATATATCTTAGGTATGATAATAAAGCATAGGAAGCATTTAAAAAGAATGCTATGATTTTTCTAGAAAACTTTTGCCTAGACATAAGCAATCATTTGTGAATCAGTGCTGAGCTTGTTTTACAGCCTTGTTGGTGTAGGAGGAAGCAAAATATTTCAAATGAAAATAACAGGTCAAATGCATTGAGTACTTACTGTCACAGGGATGTACTCTATTTCGACCAGCTTGTAGGACAAATTATACAAAAATTGCATTAAGTAAGGAAAATAGGTAAACTATTGAGTGCCATACTATTGCAATTTACGGGCATTTGTCAGCACAAGCATAATCAAAAATAGAAGAAAATTACTTCAATATCATATCTCTGTATGATACACAGGTGCAATGTTGTGATTATTATAGAAAAGTATTTTTTTTTTTTTTTTTACTTTTGTGTGTAGAAATAAACAAAAATCTATGCGAATAACAGTAGATACGTAAATATACGTACAAATTGAATAATGTAATATAAAATAAGAAAAATTAAATTTGTGTACTCAAACCGAGCATACTTGGAAAGCGTGTTTCGCTTCTATAAACAGAAAAAAAAATGAAAAAAAAAAAAAAATGTAGCGGTAAGCTTGTAATTAAAAGATTTGTATAAAATAACAAAGCATTTTGTAACGCTATTAAAAATGTATATATATATATAAATATATATATGAATAGATCTATGTTAATTAAGTATATTATATATAAATGGTATTTAAAAAGAACACATTATTTAGTAATTTGCATATAATAATACAATTGGGTTGTATTTTTATATTAAATTTCTTCATTAAGATTGCAGATGAAATATATTATAATATGATATAATGTAAAAAGAAATGTAAGTATTATGTACTTGAAAATAAATGATTTTTCTCACCTGATAACTTTCTGGAAGAGGATCATGCTGTACGGTAAGTACAATCTGATCTCCAGGTCGTAAAAGTTCCATTACGGCTTCCTGATGGGTCGCTTTTGTTACATCGGTTCCATTTACCTTCAATATTCTATCACCCATTCTAAGCTTACCAGATTTAGCTGCTATACCGCCAGGTACAACCTAATATATATGATGTATAATATTTTGTATATTTATAATTATAATTATATATAACGTGTGAATATACTTACGTGAGATATAAAAATTCCAGGTTCCTTTGCACCAAATGGAGTACAAGAATGATCGGTTCCTCCTATTATACTAAATCCAAGTGATCCTTCTTTCACCAACACGACATCCTAAACATTTATTACTTTGTAATTAAAACATTTAATAATAAAATTCAATGCATATTCAAATATATATATATATTCTTACGATAAGGAGGTTTTCTCTTTCTTATTTTTGCAAATGCAGAAAATATTGTGGTTATGTTCTTAGATAATATAAACATAATCACAATATGCACTTGTTTTGATATTTTATTAAATATTATGAATTTAATTGAATATAAGAGTAAGATGAATATTTAAAAACGTTAAATGTACATTAATATTAATGTGTATATATATACGTAAAAGTTATTAATATGAAAAATCTTGAATCTTATATATAAAACTGTGGGAGACACACCAACTTGAATACACATCGTATACACATTGTAAACACATGTATGTATGTGTATTTTCTTTTTTTTTTTTTCAATCGGCATGATGAAGAGAGTTTTTAAATAATTCATTTTACTTACCTGTTTCCATGTCTCTGAGAGTAAATACTCATTATGAATAAATTTAAGCACACAAAATAATTGCCCATATAACCAAATCAAAACCCAACTAATTTTTGTAATAAAATATTATTTAAAACATTTCTTAAGTTATATAGAAGATATATATATATATATATATAATATGCGAGCATTCAGCATTGCATTCATATTTCGTAACCAAGTAATATTTAGTATATAGAAAATATTTAAAAAGCATGCAAACAAATTTTTCGATAGTTATATTGAATATAATAATAATCATTATATATATATAACAATAAAAAATTTCATATGAATTTATATTCTATAATTGAAGTATGAAGTTACAAGTAATTATTATATTTTTGATAGATATACATGATTATCATGCAAACTAGATTATTATAGAAATTGATTTTCTCTCATTCAATTTATTTGAAATAATATGCTCATTTAAGTACCTTCAAAGCATGGAAACAAGTTAATAAAAAACAGATTATATAAGCAAACATTCAGACATATTTTGTATTCCTAATAATAATAAATAAATAAATAAATACAATAAGTAAAATTATACATATAACTGTAAAGAAAATGTGATGATATGAAAAATATAAAGAGCAAAAATAATGGATATGGATTTGACAATAGGTGTAATAAAGTCATTATAGGAAATTATATTATTGAATTGTACTATTTGTAGACATAGTACATATAAATGCTTATTGCATGTTGGATGAAAAAAAAGAAAAGTAAAAAAAGTTATTCATACATAAAGTACATAATCCAAAGGAAGATAAACCCAAAAACTATATAAAAAAGAAAAGACATAAAGTTAAGAATAAAGTTAGAAATGTAATGTATGAACATGCAGCTACCAGGCACATACCTCGATAATAACTGGTTGCACCAGTTGATTGTCAGTCACTCTAGTAACGACGGTCTCTGTGAGCGTACTCTTTATGATGGTTTCAGTAACTTTACCAATTGTCGTAGGAGCTGGAGGAAAGTTAACATCTCCAGGTAGATTGTCAGGTTGCTTGATCGTCACTGTCACAATAGGACCTTGATGGGAATCTGGTGAAGGTGAGGATGTTGGATGTCGAAGGAAATGGGCAGGAATCATGGCTTGAAATTCCTCGTTGGTGATTGGCTTCGGTACCTGTATATCTTCCGGTAACGGGGATGTTGGTCTAGGTTCCGTTGAAGACGTAGGTGTAGAATTAGTATTAGTCGTAGATGCTGCCATTGCCTGCGTAACACTGTGCCTTGGAGCAGGTTGCGGATAAATTTGACTATTTGTTGGACTTAGTGGCACAGAAGGAGGAACACTTTTAACGTTATTTCCTGGATCACTAATACCATTCATTTTTGGTGCTGTATACATCATGTCTGATTTTAATGGCGGTGGTGTTTTAGAAGTAGGACTTGGAGATAAAGTTTTGTCAGCATCCATAGAACGACGATAACCTGCATAAGCCGGTCTATTTGCCATATAACTATTAGCATTATATAACCCTGTATACGGTCTAGGTGCACCAATAACGCGAGGTGATTTTTCAGATGGAGTTACTACCGTAGCTGGATTTGCTTGAGAAAGTGGCATTTCACGTTCGACAACTAATCGAACAAATCTTTCCAAGCCCGTAAGTAAAGCTACCGCTTGTTCATGTTTGGCTCCTCTCATTTCAACTCCATTAATCTAAAGATAAATTACATTTATGAGAATTATTCTGATAATAAATATTTTAAAATAACAAAAAAGCGGATTCACTTTTTCAGCTATAAACTTACAGATATTACTTTATCTCCAACTAATAACTTGCCATCTTTTTGTGCAACTCCACCATCAGTTATCCTCGAAATATATATAGCCTAAAATTTTAATATTTATATTATTTTATTGGAATATTGACTTTTTTATTTGTACTTAATATTGACTTACATCACTATTGTCTTTAACTGGTGGTGAACCCTCACCACCGGCAATACTAAATCCTAACCCATTTTGGTCCCTTATTAGTGTTGTATGTATAAGAACAGACACCATAGGTTCGCTACCTGTTTTTGAAGTTAATGCTTCAGGAAGCTTTTTTACCTGAATCAAATCCAATATAATAATAAAATATTAAAATTTTCTAAAGCAAAAAAACTAAAACATATATAAGAAGGATTTACCTTTGCTGCTTCGTGTGTACTAGAAGCATCACCATTTTCTAAATTATACGATAAAGCTGTAGATGATACGTAAGATGTTGCGCTTGGTGCTCTACTTGTGCTCAAACTAGAGCACAATGAGTCTTTTCTCATTGAATTCTAATAACATATTATTATTAACATTAATAAACAAACTAATGGGCATAAAAGAAAACAAAAGAATATCTTATAAAATAACACACCTGCTCATACGATGGCACTATTCTTGTTACTTCTCTTAATACAACTAATATCAGCACACGCCCACATGCTTTGAGAACTTCAACAGCATCATAATGGTCCACATTAACTACTGAAACTCCATTAACAGAGATTACTTTATCCCCTACTCTTAAACCAGCTAAATCAGCGGGTCCACCTAAAAAAATATATTATAATTTAAATATATTTATCAGATACAACGCGCGATATAGCTATGATTTTAAAAAACAATGTGTTTTGTACCTTCTGTAACTCTGGATATGAAAATTCCTTCATCGTCACCCTTAAATGGGGTTGATCCAATACCTCCTGCTATAGACAAGCCAAGTCCACCTGTCGTTCGTTCAATATGAATTTCATACTGTTCTTCCCTAACTTCTAACGTTGGTTCTGCATCCGATGTTGCACCTAACAACACAATTATATTATATTAACATTATTATTACATGCCATTTTATACTTGTTATTAATTGCATTACCTAACTTCTTTTTATTTCTAACAAAACACCGATACTTTTTAGGCATGATATAATAAAAGTTTCTGTGAATATTTTACTTGGGTATTTTTTTTTAACACGTTTTCTACGCATCCACCATCTTACAATATACTGATAAATGAGTAATAGATAAGATAATCTCTACAGAAACCATCTCTTATCATTTCTACTATCTACTAAGATTTTTTAAAGAAATTTTATTTGTATAAATCTTATATATATGCACCGGTTAAATCTTTATATCTAATAATTTTTACATAAAAATATATATATATATATGTATTACCTTGGCTGTGTCCATCTATGATTTCTGAAGATTCTGTTTGTTCAGGGACAATTGTTGCAGGAGTTTCGTCAGGTTTTTTCATTAATGCCTAAAGAAATAGATTTATTTGTTCAAAATATAATAAATATCTATAAAATGAATAATAAAATTTACCTGTGCAATAAGCGAAGCTACTTTTTCTTTGTCAATAGCTGTATGAATACGTTTATTTTTTAAATGATGTGGCGTATCTCGACGATGCAATCTATTTGGTTTATTCGTTTCACCAGATCCTTCGTAATCTGTATCTTCTATAACGGAAAATTCTACGTGCCTTTGCATATCTTCAGCTTCAGATTCGTCATCGTCCTTTCCTTTTAATTCCGATATGGTTCCATCAGAACCTGTATTCTGTAAAAACAAATAATCTAAGTTTTTATTATCAAGAAGAAATAAAACTATGTCAGAGATGTATTAATTTCTTACAACAGTCGGTGGTTCTGTAGCACCATGGGAAGAAAATACAGCGATCTCGTTGTTAGTTTGAGTATCAGTACTATCGGGTAATGTTTCCAATTCTTTTTGTTCCTCTCTAGAAATTTCATGCTCCGAAGATTGATCTTGTTCTATTATATTTTGTACTTCATCTTCGCTAGGTGGTTTTATCGGTGTTTCTGATTCAGTTTTATCCAAGCCAAATGTTTGAGAAACATCCTAAAAATAAATAATAATGAAACTTGTAGAAATGACATTTTGATTGATTCTTTTTATTTTATAAATTAGCTTTATAAATATTATAAAGGTAAAAACAAAAAAACAATTACCTGTTCTTCGGTAGAACCCGATCTACTGTCGTTTCTTCCTTTACAAAACAATTTATGAGCCTTCGCTTTTAGTTCCTTCGGATGTGGTGTATTTTGTCGAACAAATGGCGTCTGAAATAAAAAAATATTAGCACGATGAATTTTATATTTTGCATGATAATATTTAATATACAAATAGATGTGTAATATTTGATATAAATGTGAAACTAGTCATTGTTTTAACATATATTATTTTATTACACAAATATTATGTTACATTATGTACAAAAGTTTCTATAATATATTAAAACAATATATTTATCACATCATATGACACTAAATGATAAATCAACAATTTGTTAGTCCTATTAAACAATATATAAATATATATACAATATATATATATATGTATATTTAAAATTATTATATCTATATATTATAGTTCGTAAATATATCTTTAAATTGCAATATGTATATTGAAAGTATTGACATAATAGTAGGGGGAATATATTAATGAAAAATGTTTGGATGATTAATTTAACGACGTGTAAGAGTTAGATCGTTTCATGCAGTTAAATCGTCTGAATAAATAATGAAAAAATCGGGTAAAAAAAGAAGAAAAGCCTGCCAGTTGTGAACTGCTCACCTCCTTATCTGCATCTGGTGGTTCATCTGTGAATTTTACCGAATGTGTTCTAGATGCTTCACGTTCTTGCCACCCTTCGTCATCGCTAAGCTCAGGTATTTCTCCTTGAACGGATCTCAATCCAACCAACGTAGTACCTAATCTTCCAGAATCTATATTAAAAGATTATATTTATATTAAATAGTTGTTTTTAGTAATAAAATAAAATCCATCAAAATACATACCATCAGGATGATATTCTAATTGAGGTAAAAGGAAACAAGTAAGTACTTTTTCTCCAGTTTCTTCATCAATATCATTTTGAAAAGTTAACATAGGTTGAGCTTGATTTTCACTCAACCAAACTGCTTTCAAATTGAGATTTATTAAAGAATATGGCAAGTGTTGTAACCTGTAATATGATGCATTTTAATATTTATATGATATATGATATTAATATAAAGATAATTGCACCTGTTTCCAGATACATCCAAAACGTGTAGTGATAAACATTGGCCAACTTCTGCTGGAAGGTACTTCAATTTGTTATTTCTTAAAGAAAGTACACCTAATTGTTTTAAATTACCTACAATAAAATCAAATTTCAATATATGTATGTGATTTAAAAAAATGATATAAATAAATGAATTGTGCATCCTTACCAATTTCTATAGGCAGAATTTGTAGACTATTCCTATCCACATTTAAATTATTTAAATTAAGAAGATTTCCTACGGATGTTGGCAATTCTAAAAGAAAATTTTCTGTAAGAATTAATTCTTGCAAATTCTCGCATCTGAAACAAATATAATTATCTATTGACATATATCAAATTCTCTTTAAAGAACTTTGATTCAATTAATTGAAATAAAAAGTGAATTCAATGATAATTTTACCTTCCTATATTTGGATTAAGCGTAGATAATCTATTTTGATCAACTTTAAGAATAGTTAACTTTTTAAGATCACCAATTCCATCTGGCAACTTTTCAATAACATTTTGTGACAAATGTAAATCAGTTAATGATTCTAAACCACTTATTTCTTCAGGAAGATCTTCTAAACGATTTTCCGAAACATCTAAACACGCCAATGTCTTTAATTCACCAATTTCAGGAGGTAAGTGTTGTAATTGGTTGTGATCCAACCATAATTCTTGTAACGCTGGTAATTTTCCTATGTGAGGTGGCTACAATTAACCATAAGAAGAAGAACAATTATTTTGTCGATTCCAATGATAAAGGGGACTTGACAAATTCCCCTAACTCTCTATCAAATGTTTATAATATTTTTAAAAATGATATTTTTTAGGACTTACTAATTCTTCAAGTTCATTATCACCAAGGTCTAGTCGTTCAAGTTTACTCAGTTTCGAAAGGGATTCGGGTAAAACCTTGAGTAAATTTTCACGTAACTCTAACGACTGTAATGCTTCCAAGCTAAATCAAATTCAACAAATATAATAATGTTAAATTTCATCATATTCATAATTGTATAAATTATTGAAGAAATTTCGTAGAAAAATTGTACCTTCCAAAATCAGGTGGTAATTTTGTTAAGGACATATCATTCAAGCCAAGAATAGTTAAATTTCTTAGCTCTACGAAGCCTGCTGGAAGTCTGAAATATATGAAAATATATTGAATTAACAAAAAGAAAACAAAATGAATTCATATATAATAATAAAATTAATTTGACTTACTTAGGAATAGGGTTACTACTAAAATCTGCAATTTGTAACGCTTGTAAGTTTTTAATGTTTTCAGGAATGTCTGGTATATCTGTAATGAAAAAATACAACAAAATAAAATTGGTTTCTCTTATAAAAGGTAATATTTTTCTTTCTTCTTTTTTTCTTTGATAAACATTTAAAAAATGTCAGTTTAAATATTCTTTCATACGTAAAATATATTCTCTAATCTATCCCTGTTTTTCAGATCCGTTGCAACCATGAAATTCAATTTTCCCGGTGATTGAACGATGCTATTTTTCGAAACTCACGCTAGCTAAGTTTAATTCTCCTTCGTTTTCCAAAGTCCCAATCATATTTCATTAAAAAATTATTAATACATAAATTTCCTTTAACCTAACAAAATCCAAATGACTTAACGTTAATACTAAAAAATAAAAAAAAATAAAAACAAAGCAAGTAATTATTTTAAAGTTTGCAGAAGAATAATTATTATGTAAAGAAAATAAAGAAGCAAGTTTTTCGTAGCAAATAAGAGACCTGGTGTAAAAGAAGGAGAATTATTATATTTTCTTGTTTTTTTTTTCTTTTTTCTTTTTTCTTTTTTCTTTTTTCTTTTTTCATCATAATGACCAAGCAAAATAAAGGTGCGTGCCGCGTGACGAACGCGTGTTTTACTCCTTTTATCATGTTTTTTTTTCTTTTTTCTTATTTTTTCTTTTTATTTATTCGTACACGTGAGAACACACGCACGCGCAAACCTATACACGTATGTATATTTTTCTATTTTTTTTTTGTATTTTTGTATTTTTGTATTTTTTTTACCGAGAGGTATTTATAATATTCGTTGCATTGTTGCATATGTTGAGAGTATGTATTATTACTGCAGTATTTTGCTGTATAACTTCGGAACAATTACAACCGAGCGTGATTCCGCTTTAAGGGGGTATATCCCCATGACCATCATTCATTTCCCCCTATTCCCCTTTCGTTAATCGTACTTTCCTTTGTTGGAAAAAGAAAAAAGAATAAAACTACTACTAAATATTGATGATGATGATGATGATGATGATGATAATGATGATGATGAGTTATTAATACATTCCGTTAACGGATTGATTTTTGTTCAAGCAATAATAATAAAAATATCAAATAGTTTGAACGAAAAGTTCAAAGTGGACCACCGTATATATATACGGTGAATATATATATAGGTATGAATTAAAGAAGATTGTCACACGTGTAACACTAGCATAATGTTATAATAGTTTGAAGTATCTTTGAAAAGCTTGCCTATGATAAATGTTAAAAGGCCGAGGGTGGATGTTACAAGTTATTTATAGTATTTATCCCTGTGTCAGGTTTTGCTCGAAACGATATTTTAACTATTTCTTGATATTTATCGAACACTTATATGGGGACGTAATCCTAATTTAGTTCTTTTTTAATCGCAATAAGTAAATATTTCAAACCTAGTTTCTATCCAATCCAATATATGAAATTCAGCCTAGTTTTTTATTTATTCTTTTTTCTTCAAATATATGATTGCATTAAATGAGCATATCCTTGGCTAAAGGGCTTGGAAGATTACTGTGTGTTTGATACATTCGATACTATTTTACAATCGTTCATTGTACATACATGTCTCAGTTACTGGGAAAAACTCGACAGTTTAAAAGGCAATATGTGCTATTTTCACTATCGAGCTGTTTCTCACTCCGGACAGTTATGTGGGGTTTGTGTCCTAGTTTTATACTCACTTTAGCTTATAAAAAAAATAAAAAATAAAAAAGAAAAAAAAAGAAGAAGAAGAAAGAACAAATTTAACTTGATAAAAACATTGTATGAATATATCGTTTAAAGATGAATCATTCTCAATAATAAATGAAATATATTGAAATTTGATATAGAAATAAAGTGTAGTTGTTAAAAGCTTCCAAATTATTCCTTCGTATATTCCAGTCTTTGGTTATTTCATTTTTCTATATTATATTTTTAACATATAACTACATATTGTATTAAATATATGATTGATTGATATAAACTAAGAGACAAAATATATGGAATATGTATGGCGTCCTATGGATCGGTCGATGTATAATACATATATACTTGTCCTAGAAGAACTCGTTGCACGCACATGCGCATTAAATTGAACTATGCATGTGTGTGTGTATACCTGTTGCGTATCACAAATTACTATCTCTCGCACGCAAACGCAACGTGAAGATGATTTTTCCTCACGGATGTATAACTTTGTCATCCGTTATTTTACCTACATTAATTCAATATTATTCGATCATAGGAAACACGCGTGGAATTTTCATCTATATTTTTTCTACTCTTCTTTCTTTATTTATTTCTTTCGGAATAGAAACATGCAATGCGTGGGCGCTTTAATCATCAAGGTGTAAGTTTCCTGAACCCAAACCTGTTGCGGTCACGGTTTATCTTTTACAAGCTCACGCGACGAGTTTTCGCATGATCATGCGTTATATAGTCATTCTTAAATGTGCAGCAACACTAACAGTTAATAGTAATAGTAATAGACAAATTTCTAAACGGTAGATATTTTTTTTTTTTTTTAGAATGAAATGAAAAATTAATTAAACTAATACGAAAATAATGTATGTGTCTAACAATTATTAAATGTTTTTTTAATATTACAATCAATTTAATAATATCTATTAAAATAATAATAGGATAGGAAGTACCTTCCCGATCGACGTAAACCGTTCGACTGTTTCATTGTCCCCTATGAAAGTCGACTCGATTTATTTTGTTTACTTTAGTCGAGCATATGTATAACTAAAATAATACTCCTCTTAGGAATGTCGTATAAACATAATATTAAATCAAAGAAAAGTTCATAGAAGACAACGAAGCAATCTAACGGGAAATTGTTGACAATATACATTTATTTCGATGAGATGGGAAAAATGATTAAATCGAAAAGTTACTTTTAGAAAATAATCAAAGAAATGATATATTAAATAACGGTAGAAATGTAGAACGGTAGAATCGGTTGAGTAATGATGATAGGAAGGACACACGATCGTCTACCTTGCTATAAGAGCAAAACGAATAGATTACGTGGACTTTGAGGAGGACTTGAATTTTCGTCCGGTCTGCGTAATTTAATATTTACCACGGTTGCTTTTCTTAGCGGTTAATGAACCAACCGGTTTACTTGCTTCGTTGCAACAGTAACATGCAAAAGGCTAAAATTACGAAGGCGAAACGTATCACGTTAGATCGATATGTGTAATTATACGTTTGGTTCGAGTGACAGTAACGTTGTTAAGAAGTTCATTTGAACATAACTCGGGCTACATTTCCGAACTTTTAGTTAAAACCGATGTGTCAGTTACTCTACTTTGATTATTTCTTCAACTTGGCATTCACTTGGTATACAAGTTATTAGCAAGAAAATAGGCTAAGGCTATTACTTTTGTTAGTTAGCCTATTATAGAAAGACAGTTTAGTTAGTCAAAGAAATCATCGTAAGCTTATCACGGAAACGACGTTAATGCGTACTCGCATACCTAAGAGACATCAACGGAAACTCAAATAAGGATTGTACAATTGGGTTACGCAAAGCGTGCACAAGCATTTTGCTTCCCGGACGTTCCTTATGTTATAAAAAAACGTGTCTCGTTCGGATTCTAACACGTATCCCGAGATAGAAACACCTGCATAACTTGTGACCTCACGAAAAACTAATACTCGCTGCCAAATACAATGAAACAAACCAGTAACAATGGTGCATTCTGTATATTTTAGGTAAGCGCTTCTCTTTCTCTTTTTTTTTTCAAATAAGGTCGAGAGAGAAAGAAAGAGAGAAGCACCAAGTATCGATAAAACGATAGTACCAAGTGGTATGTGTGTGTGTGTTGGTTTGACACACGTAATCGTGATGGCACGTAGAATAACGTAATGACCGTATATGCCTTCTTACAAGAATGTTTCAAAGCACTAGGATTACTTAATGCGACCATGACACTCGCTCTAAAACATTGTATAAATGCGGAAAATTACTTGACACGATGTTTCCAATTTAACATGATTAAAATGATCGGTTTTATATCACAAAAATTTTCAACGAAGTATAATAAGAAAAAAAAAGAAAAGTAGGAAATAAAAAGGTATGGCAAACATTTAACTTAGTCTCTTGGTTTCGATTGGTTTAACCTTTATCTAGAAAATAGTGTCGTTGTTGAACACACATAAGGCTGATAATAAACGTAAAAACCACACCTTCTTAATAATACTTTACGTTTACTCAAACGTACCAAACCCCCCTAAGAATTAATTTCATATTATCATTGCAATCATTAAGAAATTGATGGTAATGGTGTAGAGGAGAAAAAAGAAAAAAAAAAAAAGAAAAAAATATTGTACGCTTGAAATACAAGTTGATATTCATTGAATGTTAGACACCTGCTAAAGCTTAAAATCGGGCTTCGGCATGAGTTGCGTTGGTATTTATTTATCAATATAAAATCTTATTCGTCTGTTGCTGACGTTAAGAGCATTTGAATATAAGCAAAGCCTGTGTAATGTGTTTCAATCCCTGACATTCTTTTCAAAGCTATTTTAAATCATGAATGCTTACCAAATGGTTCTACTAACTTTGTATTGTTTCTATTTTTACACTAATTCAAATTGTTTATATTCATACTGAGACGTAAGAATAAACGTAAGAATAAACGTAAGAATAAAGAAAAAATCATAAAATGAAATCTAAAGAATAGAAAAAATTGAATTAAAAGGATTTGGTGATATATAATCAGTCGAAACACGAAACGACGACATATTTTAAACCGGATGTATAACATTTCGCGGTAATAAATTGTACACTAACATAAGAACCATGTATTTCGATATATTCGGCCCACTTTATTTCTCGCCAATATTAAATGAAAAGTTTACATGTGATTACGACAACAGTATATTCGGTTACAAATGTTAATAAGCTGTATAGCAATCTTTTTATTATTATTACACAAAATATATATTATTCTCGTGTTCATTGAAGTTCTCTCCTAACTGTTTTTAATAAGCTTTCTGTACCAAACTGCCGTTATAAATGTCATTAATTTTGTCATGGTACCGCGACAATAAACTATCTGGAACCAGGAAATAGTTGATGGTAAAAAAGATACGTTGGCTAGCACCACTTTGCAGATCAACTGGATGGAAATATTACACATCTTTTTTTTCTTCTTTTTCTCAGAAAAAAAAAAAAAAAAGAATTATTTGAAAAATTGGGTTTGCTCGTATTAGAATGATGGCCCCCTTAAGAATCGTAAACGTGTGCTGCTTTGGGTACCATATGCACCACGATTGTGTTCTAAAATCGTGTCGGTTGATAAACAAAGTTAACTGCTCGTTATCAAAGAGAGAAAGAGAGAAAGAACCGATCAGCTTTAGCGTACTACTGATGGCAAAGCCGAAAATAAAATCAACGTGTGTGTGTGTGTGTGTGTGT